ATAGCCCCATAGCCCCATATCCCCATGGCGATCTGAATGACTCCGGGCCGGTGGGAGAGGGGAGCATGGGGCGATTAAGAGAGAGTGAGTTGCAGGAGAGGGGAGTTCAGGTTGAGAGGTCAGAGTCCAGACATAATTTGCTGAGGGTATGGTGGTGCAGAGGGAATGGTGGTGAAGACGGAATGGTGGTTGTGAGGGTGATGGTGCAGACGTGCTTCTCATTGTGTCGCATGCTCCATTTCATTCAGTTCGGCCCTCTTCATTTCTGCTTGCTCTTATCAGCTCCTCTTGTATCTACTTACATACTTATAGATTCTGCCGTGCACTCTCTCTGTGTGTATGTGTGTGTGCGCGCGCGTGGGCAGGCATACATGCACGTGTGTGTGTGTGTGTGTGTGTGTGTGTGTGTGTGTGTGTGTGTGTGTGTGTGTGTGTGTGTGTGTGTGTGCATGCACGCATGGGCATGTGTTGCGGGGCAACAGGTGCACAGCGGCAAGGTGAGGGATGGCAGCACCGTCGCAACCCAGGTGGCTACAACAGACTGTTCTTGGTGTGCATGGTTGAGGATCGCTCTTAGAGTGCATGTCGTGAAGAAATGCCCACAAGGTCCATCACCTCGCTGTCTATGCTCTTCCTCTTCGCGCTCCTCTCTTTGACAGAACAGCTTGTGGGGACAACAGGACAACGTGAATCGCATCGCGACACATCAGCCACTCTCGGGTCAGCGGTGTCAGAAGCACCCATGAATGTGGGGCTTTGTTTTCTCTCTTGGGCAGCCAAAAGAGCTGTAGTTCATCCTTGTTACTGGGGGTTGTGTTACAGGATACATGCAAGCTGGATGTGGTGTTGGATGGGTTAGAGGCATGCATTCACATTAGTTTCAGTGAGTATGGGGAGTGAAATGGGAAGGGATACCGTACTCTTGAAGATCTGATTCCTCCACCCCCCCCCTTCCTGCCACCACCCTACCTTTTTTTTGTTGCTATGTTTGTACTTGGCGTTTTTCGCAACATGACTTCACAGTCAAAACCGTAAGTGTCTCTACTTGCCATGAGGCGATGAACGACAGCTCATTGTCGGCCCAGTGCTTGCCTTGATCACGGGATGGCCACAGCATGCACAGTCCAGGGTAAGGATGAGGATCTGCTCAAGCCTATCACACCGCACCGCACCGCATCAACTCGTTGCCACCTCGGTGTTGTTGGGTTGGGTTGGGGCTATCCAGACCAGGGGATGATGGGGTGGGGTGTGCCTCCTCCACATTCGCAGGTGCGCGGCGGGCGGCACTGGAAGCACCTGAAGCAGATCCTGCAGCCGCACAACCTGCACGACCTGCCGCCCGACCAACCCTATTGTGCGTCGCTCTTCGCCTCTACCTTGGGATTGCTGCGCTTCTGCTAGTCGCAGCCCTAATCACTGCCGGCTTGGATTCTTCCCCGTCTAGAATCTACCATTCTCACGGCAACTCTCCGTCAGCCGTGCCCCTTCCGCTTACGCCGTTCCCGCCGTTACCTGCCCTTTCCCGCTTTGACCTAAGGCCTCTCTACTTTAGATTATTAGGTCCAACTGTAAGACGATTCTTCCCCCCACCCCCCTTTTCGCTCAAGCCTTTCCTGCTCTTCCCTCTTTCCCTTCCCCTTCCGCCTCCCCCATCTCCTCCTCTCCCCGTTCCCCCATTCCCTCCTGTGCGCGTGCAGACGTGATGATAGAGGCGCCGCCGTCCATGTACCCTTCTAAGAAGTACTGCGACATAACGGGGCTGGAGGCGCCCTACACGGACCCGCACAGCAAGCTGCGCTACGCCAACCCCGCCGCCTTCTCCATCGCGCGCTCCCTCCCCCACCCGCACGCGCAGGCCTTCCTCGCGCTCAGAGGCGCGCAGACCATCGTCAAGTGACTGTTGGGGACTCGTTTTAGCGTTTCCTCAGCCGGCCGTCAGCTTATGCTGGTATTTTAAGCCGCTCACAGTCCCTCGCTCCGTCGCTCAATCGCTCACATTCTTTCAAAGTCGATCACATTCGCTCGCGGTCACCCTCTGTCATTGAAACAGCTGCCAGCAACAGTCTCAACCTTGCCATGGCGCTGTGTCTGCACCACCAACCTCTCTTGCCATCGCCAGCACCATCGCCACTGGCAGCGACAGCAACGCCGCTACTAGCCACGGCATGGCGGTCCAGACAAGCACACGCACTGTCGCAACCTTCTAGGCGGCCCATGCTCGCACTTCCGCCAGCCTGCTCAAGAAGGTCGCGAGGCAGCTTCGATACAGCACTGCACTTGCCTCTCAAGCTTCCTTTCCAGGCCTCTTGCCGGAGCGCGCTCTTTGGTCTCTCTCCGTTGGTCCAAGACAGGCCGACTGAGCGATTCTCTGAGTCTCTCGGGCACTCTCCCTGCCACAGCCTCGCATCTCCCTGCCGCCGCTACACTGCTGCGCGCTGTGCCAGGGTTAGGCGTGGCCTTGCTGCTCGAGCGGGTGGTGTTGCTACAAGCGGAGGAGGGGACAGCGTAGGCGGTGTGACTCTAACGGATGTGATAGAGTCGGGTGTGGGTGGGATGGAGGGAGAGCGGAGGAGGGACGGGGTGGGGACTGGTGAGGACAGGGTTGGGAGAGGAGGGATGGGGACGGGGTCTGGTGAGAACAGGATTGGGAATGGAAGCAGGGTGGGAAAGGAATCCGACATTCCCAAGGTTATGTGGGAGCTCGAGCAGGAGACGAAAGACCTGCTGGAGTGGCCAATTGTGTGCCGCCAGGTGGCACGATTCGCGGACACAGTAATGGGGTACAGAGAGGCGGAGGAGGGGAGGCTGGCAGTGGGGCGCACGTGGGAGGAGAGCCAGGCGCTGCTGCAGCAGACGGAGGCAGCGCTGCTGCTGCCTCGACGGCTGGACTTCAACGGTGCTGTGGACGTGGGAGGGTTGCTCTCTCGGCTCGACCGCAGTGCTGCTGCTGTCGCGGCTGATAATGCTGCTGCTGCTGGTGATGTAGGTGATGGTATCTCCGAGGGTGCTTCTTCTGGCCGTGATAGTGATGGTGATGGCAGTGACAGCGATGCCACTGCAGCTGCCACTACGGGTGCACCCACCCCGCCCATGACCATAACCCCCTCGGAGCTCCTATCAGTGGCATCTCTCCTGCAGTCAGGCATTGACCTAGGTGCTTGCATCGGGCTGGTGCCACATGAATCTGGCATTCTCTGCCCCTCCTCTTCCTCCTCCTCCCCCTCCCCGACCCCCTCGCATCTCGCCCCTCTCACGGCCCTCCTCTCCTCTGCTGCCACGTGTCCCCACCTCCTCCTCCGCATCCGCACCGCCATCAACCCCCGCCTCAAGTCCCTCGCTGACTCAGCAAGCGCTGAGCTGGCAGCCATCCGCGCCGCCAGGCGGGACAACCGGCGCCAGCTGGACGAAGCATTGCAGAGAGCAGCGCGACGTGTGGTGGAGGGAGGGGGAATGGATGAGGCTCAGGTGAGTAGGAGGAGAGGGAGAGGGTGCGTGGCGGTGAGAGCAGGGAAAAAGAGTGCTGTCACACCCGGGGGTGTTACCTTAGATGTTAGTAACACTGGCGCTACACTCTTTGTGGAGCCTGTAGAGGCTATTGAGTTGAACAATAACGAGGCAGAGTTGAGTGGGCAGGAGGCGGAGGAGGAGAGGCGGGTGCTGAGGGAAATGGCCGAGCATGTGGCGGATTGTGCACCGTTGATTCGAGATCTGACGGACAGGATTGTCGCGCTGGACCTGGCGTGTGCCCGTGCAAGGCATGCCCTGTGGATGGGTGGTTCCGCTCCTGTCCTCCTGCCCCCCGCACACCCTCTCTCCCATGCGCATGGGGATGCAACTTCAGGAGTAGATTCCCCTGGGGGCAGTGGTATGGGGGGAAATACCCTTGTAGGAAGAGAATCTGACAAAATCGAATCTTATGCGGTTGAGATTCGCGGCATCCAGTACCCAATGCTGCTGGAGATGTATCTTGACGCCGTCAGTGCTGCTCAGAGCAGGACGAGTAGAACTACAGGTGCAGCAGACACCAGTGCAGCAGCAGCAACAGGAGGAGGAGGAGCAGAAGCAGCTGCAGCAGCAGCAGCAGCAGCAGCATCCCCCCTGCCGTCTCCCCCGGTGCCCATAGACCTGCTGGTGCCGGCCGGCGTGGCAGTGGTGGTCATCTCCGGCCCCAATGCGGGTGGCAAGACCGCCGCCCTCAAGACCCTCGGGATTGCCGCGCTCATGGCCAAGGCGGGTCTCTTCCTGCCCCTGGCAGGGGACGAGGATGGACAGGGAGGAGGAGAAGAGCAGGCAGGGGCGGCGGAGAGTGGGGGAGAGAGGGGAGGAGAGACAGAGACAGAAGGAAGAGGAGAGAGCAGAGGGAGTGGGGCGAGGGGGCGGGTGGCGGTGGTGGCGTGGTTCGACCGCGTGGTGGCGGACATTGGAGACGAGCAGTCCTTGGAGCAGAGCCTCTCCACCTTCAGCGCCCACATGCGCCGCGTCTCCCGCATCCTCCTTGCCTCCTCGCCTTCTTCCTCTCCTTCCTCGCTCTCCTCGCCCTCCTCGCTCTCCTCTCCGTCACCTTCTTACTCCTCCTCCTCCTCCCCTTTCTCCTCCTCAACTCTCGTGCTTCTGGACGAGGCGGGCAGTGGCACGGACCCATCAGAGGGAGCAGCGCTCGCAGCGGCCATTCTGAAGCACCTGGCGGGGTGCAGCGGGCTCACACTCGCCACCACCCACTACGCTGACCTCAAGAAGCTCAAGGTAGGGAGGGAGGGAGAGTGGGCGAAAGGGAGAGTGGGGGGGGGGGAGGAGGAATGCCAGAGTGCCTTTCTAGTTTTGAGAGCTGTCACTACTGGCAGAGCGCGCACTACTCACGCTCGCCACCACTCACTACGCTGACCTTGAGAAGCTCAGGGTACGTAAGGGTCTCCCATGCTCTCTCCTCTGTCTGTCTGACCAGTCTTCTAACACCCCCTTATTCCCTTCACCCTCCTGTCTCTGTCCCCTCCTTCCGTCAGGCGGCCGATTCCCGGTTTGAGAATGCCAGCGTCGCATTCGACCCGGTCTCCCTGCGCCCGTCCTTCCACATCCTCTGGGGTCTCCCCGGCACCTCCCACGCCCTCTCCCTCGCTGCCTCCCGCGGCCTGCCCCCCTCTCTCGTCGCCAGAGCCGCCAGGCTCGCCCGTGCTGCCAGTCTAGAGGCAGGGGAGGAGGAGGAGGCGGAGGAGGTAGTGAGGGAGGTAGAGGAGGAAAGGGCATTAGGGGAGGGAAGGCAAGGGGGAGAGAGTGAGACAGACGAGTATGCTATCCTGGGAGGGGGAAGGGGAGAGGGTGAGGAGGTGGGGATACTAGCATCACTCAAGCAGCAGTGGCAGCGGAACGTGGAAGATGCGAGAGAGGCAGCCGAGGCAAGGCAACAAGCAGAGAGACTTCTGAAAGACCTGCAGGCGCACTATACCAGCAGGAGCACCTCACAGCAGGGCCAGCAGGAGCAGCCTCTGCCTGTGAGGGAGGTGCTGTGGAAGAGAAGGTATCAGAGGGACGTTCAGGAGGAGGTCTTGGCAGCAAGGGAGGAGATTTCCCGCGTTGTTGCCGGTTTTCAGGAAGCCTCCCTTGCTGGTGTTCCGGAGCGGGCGGCGACGGACCAGGCCTGTGCTGACGTGGCAGCGGTGGCGGCTTTGACGGACCTCTCTCCCGAGGCTAACCCTGCTATAGGTTCGGATGCTTCTGTTGGTGGCTCGGCGGGAGACCCAGGAGGGGCGGACTGGGTTCCTGCTCTGGGAGAGCTTGTGTATGTGAAGAGGTTCGGCACCAGCATGCGTGGTACGGTGGTGGCAGTGGGCGGTGGTTCGGGAGAAGCCTCGGCAGAAACAGCAGGTGCTCGGTCTGTGACGGTTCAATTGGGAAATCTGCGATTGCAAGTGCAGAGAGCAGACCTCCTTCCCGCCGCCGATGGCAGTGGTGATGGTGGACAGAGCAGGACAGATGGAGAGGCAGGAAGGAGGGGGGGAACAGGAGGACTGTTTGGCAGCCAATGGGAGCAAGATGACGACAGCAACAGCAACACCAACTCAAATAAGACTCGTGTCTCCAAGCGTGGCGGTCAGTTGCCCTCCCCATCCTCCTCCTCTTCCTCCCCTCTGCCAGCAGTGAGAGAGGCAGCAGTGCAGACAGCACGGAACACAGTGGATGTGAGGGGGCGGAGTGCAGAGGATGCATTAGCAGCGGTGGACCTAGCAGTGCAGTCCAGCCCGCCTGGTGCTGTGCTCTTCATTGTGCATGAGCTTGGCACGGGCGTGCTTCGGGCAGCTGTGCTTAAATATCTCTCGGGCAGCCCACTGGTTTCGCGGCACGAGCCGGAAAGCAGGTTGAATATTGGGTGTACTATTGTTTACATTGGGTGAGGAGAGGGTTTGTGTTGTGGTTGCAGTGGTGTGGTTGGGACTGTTGCTGGCACCGGTGAATGAATGCAATGTATTCTGTGCTTCCCGTGGGAAACAAGGCAACAACACGTCACTCCACTAGGAAAACTGCAGCAAAACTTATGTCAAGGACGCTTGGCATCTTCCAACATGAGGAGGAGCACGTATGGGGGTGAAACTGGGTCGGTGACAACTATCAAGGGGCCAGGAGAGTCGCTTCACTGAAGAGAAGACAGTCCCCTCCCCACTCCAACCATGTCAGGGTTGCCCGTGCCACACTTGTGTCAAGCTGCCTCTTCTCAAAGCAAGCACCCCTCAGGGATTCGCCCCTTGCTTACTCATCCCTTAGGATAGCTCAGCAGTGAACTGTTGGTGCAACAAGAAGAAATATCAGCAAGGGGCAGAGAAATCAGGTTAGAGGCTGATTTGCATACCATGCCAAAGAATGAAAACATACAAAATGTCCTGTAGCCAAACACAAGCTTACCTGCCCCTGGTTCTTCTGGAAAGCTATCGCGCTCACTCCAGTTACGAGTTCCGAGTCATCTGAGAACAAAAGCAAACAAAGTCAGCACCCATCATCCAAGTCATTCTCTACACACCGTGGTTGAAGACAAGCACACTTACAATATCCACCAATTTTCCCATTGAACGCCATCCACTTGTTTCTCCCCGTGAATAGCTTCGCCATGTCTGCATTCGACGTGGAGCCGGACATCTCGCCTTTCACATGAGCAAACTCAAAGGACTGCGGGTTGTCCTTGGGCGTCCATACGACTCCTCCGTTGGCCGTGTCATCGAAACAAACGATCCCGAAAGCATAGCAATTGTGATCACCTGTGAACGAAAGAGAAAAACAGAGCAGCAACAGGTTCAGCCTTTGCTTAGATGACTGCAGGACAAGATAGAGAGTGTTACTCGAGGCACTACTCACCAGCTCCAGGGTAATGCTCATGGTTTTGCCGGGAAACATACACAATGGGATGTGTTCCCATCACCGTAGCAAACTCCTTTGACCTGGGATCGTCCCAGTCAGCCCCTTGGTCCCACGCCCACACGGGGCCGTTGCCGTGCTGCGCGTACCAAATGCGCTGCGGCTGGCCGGTCTTTGAGAAGCGGATTGCAATCGCCACCAGGTCCGTGATGTGGTTGTACTTCTCAGTGTCACGGTGGACAAAGTTCTGCAAACGACAAGGTTTGAATAGTTGAAACAGATTCAAACATTTTACAGAAGGGGTGTGGGAGTGAGAGAGGAGAGGAAGTACTTGACTAGGGTACCACTTGGAATACTCACGTAAGGGTAGAAGAGCCAATACTGAATCTCCACAAACGAGTCTTGGTCGTCGGGTTTCGGATTGTAAATGACGGTGTACAGCTTCGTGCCTCCGTTCTCCGGGTTGCGCGCCGAGTCCCGCACCCAGTCGGTATCCTTGTCAAACTCTTCCGGACTGTACAGGACAGTTTTGCCATGCTCGCTCCTCAGATTCGGATTCTCCAGCAATGTATCGAGGTTGTTGGGAGTGATCGGGCCCGCCTGGTATTCAATTTCATACTCTGTACCATCCTCACTAAAATAACCTTTGGAGGCAGTCACGTGTGTGAGGTACTCGTCGATCGTGATTGGCCAGATGGTCTCATCGGGGTGGAACTTGTATTGCGGCGAGTACTCGACGGCCAAGTTCTCCCAGAACGGATCGCACGCGGGGTTTGTCTGCGGGTCGGTCATGCACGGGTCCGCAGGCGGGGGCGGGTCCGCAGGCGGGGGCGAGTCCACCGTGCCAGCAGGCATGGGCGGGTTGGCGTTGCGAACCAGCATGGCGAATTGCTCCTGGAACCACTGGCCAGCTCGCGGCGCGTCTGCTAGGGCGTCCAGGCCAAGCGGGTCCAGGGGGTCGCATTCGCGATCCACAGGAAGCGGCTCCGGAATCTCCTTTTCTGAATTGAAGACATCGTGGAAAGGGAGGACGAGATTTGAGCCAAGGGGAAGGGAGAAAGTACAGTGCAGTTTGTGGACGGATGCATCAGACGAACCACAAACGGAATTTGTAAATGCAGGCCGCGGAACTAGGATACTTACGCGTGACCATCGCTTTCCCCAGGCGGCTTGATCCAGACCACAGCGTCAACTGTCGGCAAGGTAGGGAGTCACAAGGGGGGAACGATAGTAAAATCAGAATTGTATTATGGAGAATAAAACGGATACGGACAATTTGCAACAGCACGAAGACGAAGAAGCAGGATGCTTTTGAAAGATACCAACTGCTCACCTTGCGGAGCATCAGCGGGATCCGCCTGGGGGCGTTCTCCGATCCCCGCGTTCTTCACGTTGCACCACGACCCCCAGCGCGTTCGAATGCCAGCGACGCCGGACCGGCTGGTGTCAACGATCCACCTGGTGGGCAGTCCCGCGGCCCCCAGGAACGCATTGAGGCGCGCCGTGAAGCGGTTTTCGTCGATGCACGGGTTCCAGTCGTAGCACATCTCGCCCGTGCTCGGGTTCTGTGCGAGCGGGCATTTCTCCGACGCCGGGCAGCCGTCGTCGGACGCGAAGAGCGGGCTGTAGTTGGCCACGTTGGACGCGAAGCCGCGGATCTTGGCGTTCTCGCGGATCTGCCGCGCGCGCGCGAGGACTTTCATGTACACCGCCATAACGCGCTTCATCACTTCTGGCCACCCTGCTCTCGCATTAGACGGGGAGGGGATTAGGGTTGCGGGGTGGGGTGAGGGGGAAGGGTGCGAAGCGAAACGACGGAAGCAGGGGTCCAGCTGCAAAGGGACGTTGCGCAAAAGAATTGGTGCTCAGGGGAACGCTGCGCAAATCGTGGCGGATCTGGGACGATCAGGGCCGTCGGATCAGCCGGATGGGGGATCACATCCCTTCGAGATGCCAGCCGGTGTTGACGAGGGTTTGGAGCGGGAAGGGGGCGCAGGGGCAAAGGCAGCCGCACACGCACTCACCGAGCCAGCCGCCGAAGCCGGAGTCGAGATAGAGCGTGGTGTCGGGGATCTGGGAGAGCTCCGCGATGGCATACGCGACGCCCTCCATGTATTCCTGCTCCGTCGTCGCGTCGCACCGATTCGTGCCCATGTTGGTCGCGATGTTGGGCAGCGAGTCGGGCTCGATCACGAGCGACAGACGCACGTTCGCCGCCTTGTTTTTAAGGCGCGCCACGGCAACATCAATGTAGTTGACCTTGTACGTGTCGAGCCCGCCCTTGGGAATCTCCCCATTGGACGACCACGCCTTGCAGTCGCGGCCCGGTAGGTCGTAGATCACGAATTGCACGAGAATCGGATTTTCCCCCGCCTGAGTCGCTGCGGCGTCCAGGTGGCCTTGGATGGCGTCGAGCTTCGCCATCGTGTCGAGCCACACGGCCGTTGGATGCTCCGCTACGCTCGCAAAAAACGGCGCATCCTCGGGAGTCGCGGCGCGCATCGCGGCTTCTACGCTTGCCTTGTACTCGGGGTTGAGGTACTGCTGGACTCCCGTGTACGGGTTGCCGGTCGCGCTGTCGGTAACGCGGTAACCGCACGACGTGCCATTGGCGGCGACCAATTCTGTCGCGTTGATTGCCCCTTTGAGAAAGCACGTGCCGCCATTTTCGGCCGTCCACGTCCAATGCGTGCAATCCGCGCGATCGAGGCACTGCTTTCCGCACGTGTCGCCCATGCCGGCGGCTCGGTCAATGTCGTTGCCCTTCCAGTCGCAGTCAAACGACCACATCACCCCCCCCTGCTCGGAGCTTGAGAAGTTGAATGCTGACGTGGCTCTCACTGAGAGATTGAGAGCCACCAGCACTACTACTAGTCCTACCAGTGCCAATGCGTTCCGGAAACACCCAGTCACCATCGTTTCGGTTACTTGTTTGGAAGGCATATTTGAGTTTCGATTTGATGAGTCACGACATACTCAAGGGACCGTCGCTTTTTATAGCGGGGGACCAGAACTGCGACTCGGATCGCATCAGGGGGAAGCTTACAATGCCTCTCGTGTTCCATACTGCTTTCCGACCTACGGTCAGAGACGTGTGTTCTGAGAATTCTTGGTGACGCCATGGCTTGTGAGACAAGTTCCCGTGTAGGTGTTAGCTGCGCACAGGTGTTAGCTGCGTAGGGGTTTCTGTAATGTGTTGAAGCCGTGGCGTGCGCTGGTGAGGAAATCTGGAATCTGCTTGCAGATCTGGAAGGGGCGTCTGAAGGGAAGCGATACTCCATAGGTTGTCGTTCAGAGTGATTGTGAAGGTTTGGACGCGGTACCACACGGTACTGTATTGACCAGTTTGAAACGAAACACACCAAACAAAACCGTGGTCGGCGACCTTAGAAGCGTGGTGACACTCCGTAACATAATTGTGATGCAGTAACATGTATAGCGATCGGAAAGCTGACCTGAAACCGCAACCGCGAGCTTCGTCGACCAGCCAGAGCTCCTCGTCCTTATTTCGCCTTGCGCCTCGCCCACAGAGGCAAGGTTTTCGATACCTCGTCAGGTTTCGTCAACTGAATGCGATGTTGTGTTGCAAGCAGACCTGATCAGACCTAGACTATTCCAACAGCCTCCACCAATCAAGACAATCAATGGCGGCCCTCTTCCCTTTCGGTACGTCAACAACTACTTTCCTTCCCTCCCTAGATTGCTCAATCAATCGTGTCTAGTTCTCGTGCTCTTAGTGTCTGCTCTTTAATCTAATATAAGTACATTTTTTCCCCATGTCAGGCCCATGCGCTAACGATCCTGTTCGAGGAGTGCCTCACATCAGCCACTTACTCGTCAACTCCCAACCAGCTGCTTATCGCCATCGTAACCCTCCTGGTACGATTATGGAACAATCTTTTTGTCTCCTCGACCAACCGTAACGCCAATTTCATCGTAGGTTCGAATCCCGATTCGTAGGTTCGAATCCTCGACCGACGCGTAGGCTCGAACCCCGATTCGTTGCGCGCCGTGCTCGCGGGATGGCTGCAGGGTCGGATCGTGCAGGCGGAGTCGCAACTCTGGAGCGGGCTGTCCGGCGCGCCATGGCATTCGCATGACAAGGCGGGGAGTGCCACGGCGCGGGGAACAAAAGACCTACCAGCGTTACCACCAAAACCAGCAGCGGTACTACGAACGGTGGCCGTAGCGGGAGTCACGGAAGCACAGGCAATGTGGAGGGTTGGCGCGAGCAGGCAGGCGCTTCACCACATTTTCGATTTCTGTAGACGAGCCGTGCATCTCTACGGCAGCTACAAGGTGACTATAACGAGCCATTCGCACACGAATGATTGAACGAGTCAGCAGAGCGCGCTCCCCTCACCATCAGCTACGTCAGACACGGTGGCGTCTCCTCTCATCATCTCATTCCACTCGACAGCCAGTCCCCTCCTCGCCACCTTTCTCTCCCCGCTCCCCCCATGCCCGCTCCCAGCGCCATAGGCTGCGCCAGCTGTACCTCTCTTCGCTGCGTCACTCAGTGCCTCTTCGCTTGTTTTCACCCCTGCTGCCCGCTCCACCCATCCCCATGCGCGCGCCATCAGCTGTGCCAGGTGCACGTGCGGTACGAGCGGGAGCAGCACTCCGTGTGCCACACGCACAAAGGCAAGTGACCTTGATGCCCACAGTGTGCTCCTACATGCACGGCTGCTTCCTTTCTCAACGTAGCGCCACAGCAGGGAATCTTCCCCTCAAGGTGGATTGCAGCAGGCAGGCTCAAGGTGCCGCCGCTGCAGGGCTGCTTGCTCTCAGGGTGGGGTTGCAGCAGCCATGCGTCAGCAAGGCAGCTGTGAGTCAAGTCAGCTGCCGTGCAAGCCCACGCACAAGCAGGGGTTTCTTCCTCACAGTGTGCCGCAGTTCGCCCTGGCTGGCTGTGCACGATGTGCGTCATCGCCAGCATCACCAACGCCACCACTGCCCCAACCGCCCTGCTGCATTCTCACCTCACATGCTGCCATGCCATGCCGTTGCCCATCCACCATGCCTTCATTTCCTCCCCATACACCATGCCATGCTGTGCCCGCTCTCCTATCCATCCACTATCTTTCCTCCCACCTTTCCAACTCCTCCCCAGCCACCACTTACCTCCATGCGCTCCGCTCCTAGGCAGGCTACACGTGTCCCCTCCTCATTGGCCACAATGCTGGCCTTTCTTCTGCGCATATCCCCGGTTCTGCTGCTTTCACTCCTCTCTTTCCCCACCACCCTCCCCATCCCTCGCCAACCCGCCCCTTTCCCCCTCTTCCCTAAGACAGGCCACTTTCCAGCTTTCCTTTATTTGTCATTCCTTTTGTCACCCCACGGCTGCCATTTCATCCCCTCTCTTCCCTCCTCCCCCGTGCTCTCCTCCTCACCTTCCTCGTTTCCGCTTTCAGCCAGCCCACTTCCCACCCAAGCCAGACATCTCTCCCCATCACTCCCACCCCAGCCAGTCAACTCAGCCTAAATGAGCGCTCTTCTCCCATCTCTCATCCCACCTCTCTTCCTGCCACCATAACCCTCTTTCCGCCCCTTCTCCCACTCGCATTCATCTGCTCCCCCTCAGGCGGTGTAGTTCCGAGCCAAGCAAGACCTGTCTCTTCCAACGTGGGAACTCCGCCCCATCCCCCTCACTATAGTCACACCGCTGAGGCTGAGCTGGCACACGCTGACGTGGCAAGTGCTGACACAGCACGGGTGCGGCTGGAAGGCGTGTTTGCAGCGTTCGAGGAATGCCTAGGTCAGCAGCGGATGATAAGGGGGGAGGACGAAGGGGAGACTGAAGGGGAAGGATGAGAGGGCGGATGAGATCGAATGGGGTTCATCGAATGGCCAATGGGAAGGAATGGGAATGTGATGAATGGTGGCAGTGGAAGGGGACGCGGGGAGACGCTTTGCGCATCTCATGGAGAGTGGAGTGGGGTGGGGTGGGTCCCAGTGGTTGTGTGACCTCAGTGCCGCCGTCAAACCAGCTTCCTGCCTTGCTCTTCCCCTGCGTTCCCTCCTTCGCTCGCCCCTTGCAGTGCAGTCCAGCCCGCCTGGTGCTGTGCTCTTCAGTGTGCATGGGCTTGGGACTGGGGTGCTTCGGGCAGCCCACTGGTTTCGCGGCATGAGCCAGACAGTAGGTTGAATATTGGGTGTGCTATAGTATATATTGGGTGAGTAGGATTTGTGGTGGTGCAGTTGCAGTGCTATTGGTGGAAATGTTGCTTACGCGTAATGACTTGGCCACTGCCAAGCCCAATATGTTCAGTTATTTCCTGGGGCATATTCACTCCGCACCGCACCAACCAACACATTACTCCATTGAAGTACTCTCACAGAAGTGGCTGGAGCTCAAGGACACGATCTCTTTGTTGGGCTGAGAAAGCCCTTAGGATCTTTGCAGGGGTGAACTCTGGGTAGAGTTGGTGTAGTAGCGGAAGCGTTAATTAAAGAGTTGTGAACCACCTTGCGCTAGTATGTGAGGGCAAAGTAAGTTGATTAAAACAAAGAGATACAAGAATATATATAAGAGTACAAGGAATACGAAGAGGTACGGTTGTAACTACTTTACTGTTGCTGTTGCGGTTCGATACAGTGACGACTCGGGCAACTGCTCTGTAGCGAGTCAGTTGTGTGTCCTTGCTGTCGCGCTGTATTCGTCAGGTCAAAGGTCGCTGACCTTTGACTTCCCCGTAACCTCCAGCGGTTGCTTCAACCTCCGAGGGTTGACTCGCTGGTGCCTCGATATACTTTGCTTCGCTTGTGTCTTGGTGTTTCGACACGACAGAGGCGTTTAAGACCGATTGTTTCCAACACTCTTGATTTATTACCCAACCAACGCATCATCAAGGCATGGGAAATAGCTGGAGTAAGCATCGACATGATTTATTACCTAGCAAACTCAGGGTCCTTGCTGGTTTCAAGCTCCAAGGGGCAAGAAGAGTAGGCAGGGGAGGTCTCACACACAAGCTATAACAGTGTTGGCAAGCACCCTCAGGGTCCTTCTAGCTGGTGTCAAGCTCCAAGGGGCTGGCTGGAACAGAAGAGTTGCTAGGGGGGACCAACACGAGCTTCTGGTATAGCTGTATTTCCAGCTGCCTTGTTTGAAAGCAAGCAAGCACCCTCAGGGTCCTTCTAGCTGGTGTCAAGCTCCAAGGGGCTGGCTGGACCGGAAGAGTTGCTCAAAGAGGACCCACACGAGCTACCGGTCTAGCTGTACTGTATTCCCAGCTGCTTTGTTTGAAAAAAGCACCCTCAAGAGCCACGCCCCGTGCTTACGCCGCCTTGAGCACTTCTGTGAACTGCAGGTGCAAGAAGAAACATGATTAGAACCTGATTTGCTTGACATGTGAAGATACAGATGAGGAAAAACAAAATGGCCAGTAGCGAGACTCTCAAGGTCACCTTTCCCTGGTTCTTCTGGAAAGATATCGCACTCACTCCAGTCATGAGCTCCACCTGCGTCGAAACCCTTATCTGATGACTCCATACTGAAAACAAATGCAAACTTGGTCAGCATCCGTCATCTGAAGGTTACGATTACCCACCATGGTGCGAAGGGCAAGCCCCACTTACTGTATCCACCAATTTTTCCGTTGTAAGCCATCCACTTGTTTCTCCCTGTGAATAGCTTCGCTCGGTCCGCATTTGGCATGGAATCGGACATGTCGCTTTTCACGTGAACATACTCAAAGGCAGAGTTTGGGTTGTCAAAGGGCGCCCATGCAACTCCTTTGTTGGCAGTGTTGTCGCAAACACCGAAGTGGCAATTGAAATCACCTGAAATGAGAAGTTAGAGCAGCAACGAGGTTCAGCCTCTGCGTAAAAGAAGCGCTGGAAAGATACCGGGTGTTACTCAAGCAGCTACTACTCACCGGCGCTAGGGTAATGCTCATGATTCCCCTTGGCGACAT